TATCAAAAAAATATTTCGTAAAAAGTAAATTGATCAAAATACCTCAAAATATTATATGGGTATTTTGATCAATTTATATTTTATGAATTATTTTTTTAATATTTTTATTTGGTGTGTATTGATGAGAAGAACAGACACCTAAAATTTCACATGATTTAGATTTGTAGAAATAAAATTAAAATTAAAATACGAAATGATGTTGTGTCTATCTGATAAGCCCAGATTGAATCTGAGTCGTTATGACTATATGCAGCTATAGGGTAGTGGGTCTATAGTAGCATTTCCCATATCTATATGAGAAATGATTTTATATGACCTTCCTCCACCTATATGTGTAGGACCTCAAAGCATCACCATTAAATTTGGTACGGATCTATAAAAAAATCAAGTCTCACACCCATGTGATAACTTTTGTAGAGATTCGTGCCAACCTTAATGATGATCATTTAGGATCCAACACACATGCGTGGGCGAGGGTCCTATAGGATCATTACTCTTTGAAGAAACATGCTGGAAAGAATTAATTTCAAATTTCATCTATGATCTAAGGGTGAAGTTGGCATACAGATGCATCAGTAGCTGTAGAGGTAAGGAGAACCTTCAAATTTTATCATGGTATATAATTTTGATGTAAAATGTTTTTAGGATTATCTCAAAATCAATTTTTAAATCGAATTATAAAATTTTAAATTTCAAAATTGGTTAAAATCAAGTAAGTCTATAAACATATGAAAATCTTGAAAGTGGATGGTAGAGATAATATGTTGTAAAATGTACTATTTCTGTTAAAAAAATTTATTTTTCACGGTCATACATCTCGATATTGAGATGATCAATCAAAAGGTTTTTAACATTAAAACTAACTTTTCCGATGGATTTTTGAGGTGCATCTGTAATTCTACATTATAAGGTTTGCATCCTTATATAAACTTTTTCCTTGATCTAATGATTCCATCCTCATATTACATTTTAGTTTTTACTGTCTTTTAGTCTTTCATTTAGTAGGGTTGTGCTCCAAGCTTTAGAGGCAGTCCAAGGTTAAAATCCTCATACTGCCCTCTAAATATGGCGAAACCCCAATAGAGTGGTATGAAGTCCTCATCCTTTGACCCCTATTTTTTTCAAAAAATAAAAATAAAAGAGCGATCCGAGGATGGAACATCACACCACCCTAAAATTGAGTTATACTAAGTTCAGTGTGCAGTCCAATGTCCCCATCCTCGGACTGTTGTTTTTTTTAAAAAAATAATAAATAAAGCATGGTCCAAGATTAGGGATCTCGAATTGCTATTTTTCTCAAAAAATAAAAAAGAAAGAGCGGACGGAAGATGGGGACCTCATAACAAAGGCATAATACTGCAGCTTAATGTGCGGCAAAAATAAAAAGGTCACGACTCACGACACACTTTACACATGCGGGCTCACAATTGATGCAACGAATTCATCCAAAGCTCTAAGAGAAGAACCACCACCGCTCTCCTCCTCCGCCATCCCTTTCCTGAGGGCCTCTCTCATCTCGCCGGCCTTTCTCCTCATCTCCGCTCCCTTCTCCCCTTTCACCACCTCCGCCACCACTCTCGCCACCTTCTCTCTATCCACCCCCACCTCCTTCCCCCTCCCAACCTCCACACAGACCCCAACTTTTTCGTCCCCCAACATGATCGTGTTGTAGAATTGCTCCCCCGCCAGGGGCCATCCAATGAGAGGAACTCCTTGGCTTAGGCTCTCCAATACCGAGTTCCACCCGCAGTGGCTCAGGAAAGCGCCGGTCCCCTTGTGCGACAGAATCGCCAGTTGCGGTGCCCACCCCTTGACGATCAGGCCGCGGTCTTTCACCCGCTCCTCGAACCCTTCCGGAAGCCACTCTGATCTGAACTCGGCAGTCATGGGGAACTCCAACGGTGGTCGCACCACCCAGATGAATCCTGCACCGCTCGCCTCGAGACCCAGTCCCAGTTCCTTCAGTTGCCACCCCGAAACTGTGTTCTGCGACCCAAATGAAACGTACAGGACCGAGCGCAGTGGCTGAGTATCGAGCCAGGCTATGCAGCTTTCGGCTGAGATCCCCAGTGGCTTGCCCCCGCGCTCCCTCGCCCAATTCTCGGAGAAGAGAGAGAGAGGCAAGAGGGGCCCAATTGGCAAGACTCGCCTCCCAGTCATCGCTTGCAGTAGCCTTAGAACATCCGGCTCGAGCTCGGCCACCGTGTTGCATAGCATATCACCCCTCGACCGATGCATTGAGAGGGATATGTGCTTCTGTAGAAAGATCGACCATCCGTCTTTGCCGTCCGCTACTCTGAGGTGGCTCGGGATCTGCTTCCGGTGTAGCCTGACTCCCGGCATACCTGGGACCGGGAACTCGTCGGCGTCAGTCCCCACATGCGGCAGGTGCAACCATGTAGATGCGTACCCCAACGTGCCGAAGGCCCCGCAGGTAGTGAATACCACGTGATGGATGCCAAGCCTCTCTGCCACCAACACTGTCCAGCCACAGAAGACGTCCGCGACGATGCAAAGCGGTAGGCGGCCATCTTTGCGAGCGATATCGGAGATGAGGCTCTCAAAGGCAGGTTCGAGGGTCTCGGAGGCTTCGCAGAGGCGGAGAATGAGAGGGTAAGGGAGGGCGTCCGTGTTCTCGGCATCCGGGGGGAGGCCATGGTCGGCGCTCGAGAAGGGGATCTCAGCGACGTCGATGGCGCCGGCGGCCTTGGGATTCATCA